TAGTTGCCGGCTGAGGTTAAACCACAACATATATCCATAAATTTAAAGGGATTATAAACACAATCAAAGTAAACGGATGTAATTAGTTTTTGAAGAAGATTCTCAGTATTTTTTTGTTGTTTTTACTTTTTACTGAGCTAGTGCAAGTCTAACAAGTTACTCTGATATCAGGCAAGTGAAATGAAGCACTATGTTTGCATCATTACATTTTACTATCCAACTTTCAAAACCTTTAAAAGTACAGGTTACTATAATTTTCTGATCCACAGATAATACTATAATTAACATCTTCCTGATTATTCAGTGAATTACTTTAGAAAATCTGTCTTTGATTCCACTACCTTTCAGCATACCCTTTTCCAGGTACTATAGCTGGCAAGTTTCTTTGGAGTCCTGTACCCACATACTCTACAGTGCAAGTAAGGGTGACAGAAGATTCATATACTGTCTAATTTTAACCTCCTCTAATAAGCATTAAGTGCAATGATATGAGGATATTAAGCAAAATATACATCTCTACAATATATGAAGGACCAGATAGATTTTAACATTCCATTACCAAAACCAAAATAATGTTTTATCTGGTGATAAAATCAGAGTACACAGGAACTACATACATAAAAATCAAATCCAATTTAAAAGTAAACACAGGTTTGTTCAAACAGCATTGTACAATTGCTTTAACACTTACAGAATTTAGATGAACAATATTTTCCATTCACTCACAGTTTAGTATAAATATAAAGCAAGGCACCCCTTAAGCATTTTAAATAACAAATTAAACATTTACGTTTTTTACTGTGCAGTCAGGCTTAACATTTATGCAGCTTCAAAACCAAAGTACAGCCTCAAGGGAAGCCTCTCCACTGACAAATTAATACCTTAGAGAATAGAGCTGAATGGTGGCAATGAACTCATTTGTTCCCCCAATAATGAAGAATGACTCTTTCTTTACCACATCTGTGACTGTTGCTATGGTGACCCAGACTTACCTCATTGCTTCTCGAAGTGCTCCTCGCTCACTAAGAGTCGTGTGCTTGATGTCATCAAAATTATTTTCTAGTTTCTCACAGTTCTGCAACAAACGGACAAATCCATGTACGGCTCTTAAACAGTATATTGTACGTATATTAACATTATTCAACATCATGCAAACAAAACTGATTTATATTATGTAATTCAAATTATGCATTCTGTTTTAATTACACAGGAGTCATTAAAAAGACATTGAGAACTCAGAAACAAAGTAAACATGAACCTTATTATATGGTTGTCACGGAAATCATCTTATAAACTTCCCATAATGAAATGTACAGAATTTTTACTTTTTTCTTCTTTGAAAGAAAAAATAATTTTTCCTTTATCAGTATGCGAGGCTACAAAGCTACTAAACACACACAGACGAGAATAGAAACCTAAACGTGCATTTTAGAATTATAATAAAAGTAATAAATACTGTCCCAATGAAACAGGCAGAGTTGTTGGAACAAACCAATCATATTTGATTCATATTTAGTTTAATTTTTAAAACATAACAGAAACTGAAAAGATTAATTGCTTATAGACACCTTAAGCACTTAATGTTTTTTCCAGATTAAAGCTCACCAGTATTTCTAAAAGTAATATGAAGCCAACAATTTTGTGACAATAAATGAAATAAAACTTCACTATATTCTGTTAATTATTATTAAATGTGTGACTGGTTCCATTACTCCAGAGTGCTGATCCTTTTCTTCTGCTCCCATAAAGGCAATAAAATTGATTCAGAAGATGCTGGGGAGTACAGAAATTTGTATCTGTGCAAAGTGAGTGTGAAATACCAGCAAACAGTAATTCTCTGATCATGGGCATCATCCATAGGATTTTTATATTCTCTTGAGGCTTCGTCAATACAGGAGACTTTTAGGTTACCCCTGTTCTCTGGAGCACCTTTCTCCAATACCAAAACTTACCTCTGGGAGGCATAATTTTGCCATATGGGTCTAAAAGAAACACAAGTTACAAGCGTAACAGTTACTATTGCTAACAACCTTGAAGGCAGGATTGTCAGGCTCTTTATGCAGTAGCTGTAAAGAAAATATGTGAACTATCATATGGTCATATTGCTTTCAGTTTTTAATATCCATATTAATTTTCAAGTCCACATTTTAAAGATAGTCAGAATAAGTACAATAAAAGTTACCTATTGTTACTTCTTTTGTGCATTGATTCTTTATTTTTATAATGACATTCAATTTGAGGCTAGAAAAGCATTACTGGAAAGGAAATAATTAGATATTTGTAAATGACCTAACAAGATATTTTAGCTTGTCCAATTAACATTTAAACTATCGTTATTTTTAAGTAAGATTATAGACTTTTCAATACAAAGTTTTAATGCTTTAACAATACATTTCTGAGCAGGAGAAACGAACAAAGCTACATTTGGAACTTTTACAATCTGTTCTCTCCCTTGTCAAAAATGATGCAAGAGTAGTAAATCTTATCCCATGGCCAATCTGATATTTTTTCTTTGTTTATATTAATCAGCTGTACTTTGTATGGCAAAATCCTACTCAAAAACTCAAAGGGATTACGCAAGAAAGACAGCGAAGCTCTACAATGAAGTATTCCATTATTTAGATCAGCATACATTGACCTTCAGCTCCAAGCACATACAGGCAGGTCAGTCATTTAAAATACACAAAAGAAATCCAAATCAACAATACTAATTAATAAAGAATTCCTGATTCATCAGTACTAAACTGAAAGTATCTGTGCAAGCAAAAATCAAACCTCCCATCCTCCAGGAAAACAGACCAAAAGAAACATCATTTGGAATACCGCTCCAAGCGCCGAAAGAGGAAAGCCCATGTTTTAACAATCCTGTGCCACCAGCATCTCAGGACAAGTTCAGAAAATCTGAGCATCACGCAGTTCATTTCTCTTGACCTTGCGGTATAAAGCATGTAAAAACGACAGAGGATCCAAAGCACATAAGATTTTTATCAAACACAACTAAATCTTCTCTATATCATACAAGCTAAAATAACTGATGGTCTCCACGTGGAAAATGCTGAAAAGAGTGAGTTCAGCTGGTATTTCTTCTTTGTCTATATAGACCATACTGTGTTAATCAGCTGAAGGGCAACAAAGGTGGCTCATATCTAAAGAAAATGCTGTGATCATGTAGCCTTACACACACAAATACTCACTCTCAACTATAAACCCAATGCAAAAATGAACAGAAAACCCAGAACAAAAAATGGAATGAATTTTATGGACTTAAATAATAGATATCATAAAAATTCATTTGACAAGAAGACGAATGAACTTCTACCATTTCTGAGAATTGTTTCTGGACAATATCTTTCTCAGCTACTTTCAGCCAAATAGCTCTCATTCAAGGTACAGCAGCTGGAGAGCAAGTAACTTCACCATTAGGAAAAAAATGAACTAAAAACTGAACCAGACACAAACTCCTGAAGGAGGATGACCTCATAGTACTATGTCACCAGTTACAGCATCCATACTGAACAGGGGAGTGAGCAAATATTGACTATATTCACTGCTTTCCAGTTAGAGCTGCAAATCATCCAAAACAGTATGTTGGATCCTCTCAGAGAAAAGAGGACAGGGTGTCTGAAGTACCAAATATAAGCATGGCTACCAGCGTATAGATGCCACTTCTACATTTGCACACTACATTTGTAGATCGTCTGAAAGGGTATCGGTTTATAAGAAAGGTTACCAATATGAATGAAGTTGTGAGCATGAGAATACTCTGAAGAATATGTCTGGGAAATGACGAAACTTCGGTAGACCATGACCAGGGTGAGCTTTACGTTCTTAAGTATTAAATCAGTAGCAAAAATTGAGCTCATTCTATTATCCATGCTACCAAATAGATTAATATCTATAAATGTCTTGCACAGGGCAGTATGTTTTGGCCCATAATACTTCACAGATTTAAGTATAATGAGCAATTAAACTCCCAGGTGTTTCATTCTGAGCAGCAGCTAAAGTAAGAAAATCAAAATGCAAGCAATGAAAAATTGGGTTTGGTGGCTTACTGCCAAGTAGTTTTCTGTGGGTATAGATAAAGTCTAGAAGTTTTAACTCTACGATTCAATAATTATATAGTACTGCATATGTTATCGCTGTTGGCAGAGCTATAGTGCCGTATGTACTAAACTAAACATCACCTTTGAGAAGTTCAGGAGGAAAAATAAGTACAGAAATGCGATTAGGGACATGATCATCATAAGTCAAACTACCATTGCATGTCAAAAAGCCACAAAAGAGTAAATACTGCTTCTTAAAGGATTCTAGCATAAATACTTTGAGGTTTTTAAATGAACCAAAATGCAATAGTGGGGAAGAGTTTTTATATATAAATAAATGCCTTATTTATCATATGAGATCTTAAATAAACCTACGTGATAACTAGTTAAAAAGGGAGATGTAGACTGGATATTCACAAATATCTGCGGCATCACACAGCATACTGATGGAACATCTAATCAGAAATGAGAATGATGAATGATGAATGTATGAAGATGAGGAAGAAGGAAGATTAACGAACAAATTGAAAAGCTTTTCCTCCCATAACCACAAAAATATGACTTTTTCTCCTACTGCAATTTATTGTTGTTAATAAAATAAACTGCAAGCTTTGGGAGGAAGGACTATGCGCTCATAATTTTTTTTTTCAGTTATGGTAAGAGACAATATTAACAATATCATGACATAAACTTTATAATAATATTCTAACAGTCTGAGGGAAGTCGGCAACTACCAAGTCCAAAGTACTCTAACTCTTTGACACTGGTTGAAGTAACAAGCTAGCTCACATAACTGGAGAATATAAATAAAGAATCACTCTAGTTTTACATAAAAACCTAGGATTCTGGTAAAAGTGAAGTTGTACTTTTTAAAACGCATCTCTAAACATTCATCAGCTTAGCTTTCTTGTATATGTTTTTTTCTTGGATGGAAAAGCCCTCTTTGCTTGGCTTCGTCATTTGAAAAGCAATTCTTGATTTGGCCTCTTGGGTCAACTGCAAAACTTCGCAGAAGTAGCTCAGAAACCAAAAGCAGTCTATTGCCTGGTGTCACCACTGAGGATCTCCCTAAATCACAAAAGCATTGCTGCCTCTGCTCTGCCATGACAGGTCTAAGAGTCAGAGTTTTGAGAAGACCGTATCTCAAACTCACCCATTCTGCGATACAGTACTGATACAGTACTTCCATTGAAATCAACCTTAAATCTTTCATCCAGTCAAACGAGAGTGGGATCACACTAAGCCATATCCTGCTACTTTAACTCTATCCAGAAATACTTCACACATAAGACTTTCAAAAGTATATTACAGATAATGTCTTACACACATTTTGAGATAGTTGAGAAATAAAATCTGACAACAGCGTAAGACCTATCCTAAGGCAGCCTGCATCACTGAAGTTGAGTAGATCTCTTACCCTAGTTGATACACTGCCAAATCAAAAGCCTTACTTAAAATACTGTTTCTCTTCCGTGAAAGAAGTTTTTAGGTAAGTAGGATTGCCGAATTCTTGGAATTCATTGCTTCCACGTGGTTTTAGGAAATTTTCTTAGAAAGCTTGAGTTTTTTCCAAACATTTGTGAAAGTAAATCTCACATTTTTACTGTCAAATGTTCTCCTTGTATTAAACATAAGGAACATACAGCAATTGAAAGATGGAACAGCTCTCACTTGCTGTTAATGCTAAAACAAATTTATTTTTCTCCTGTTTTATCTTTTATAATCCATGGAAGAGGTTCCTACGGAGTATGTTGTGTCTTAATTTTCTAACGTTTATGCAGCCAAATTTTAAAATGTGCATAATAAATGTAATTGTATCTAGATTTATGAGTGCTTAAAATGAGACAACCTGGCCCAAATTCTGAAGGATGTAGTAGCTCCCTCTGATATTTCAATTAGTTACCTTTAAGGAGATAGGCTCCAACGACAGATTGCCAAAACTGTTGAGGACCTATAGAATCTGCCGTAAGCACCTTCGTCCTGTACAGATTCAGCAAGAAAAGTCTCAAATTTTGGTCCAAAAAATTCCTTA